ATGATGATAACATGTTAAGGACCATTCACCCTAGTATTGGCTTTATAGGATCCAAACGACAACTAGAAAGGCTACATTGATAAAAGGTATATCAAGAACGTCACATACTATGGAGAATTTATTTGAAAGAAATGATAATACAATAAAAAAATTCCCTAGACGTTAAATCTAATTGAGTATTTTTAAATATGCATATAAAATTAAATACTGCATTACCCCCCCCCCCCCAAGTGCTAGTTGTCATCGATTATTTAGTAAAGCAAAGCTTATACTTTGTGATAGTCATTCTAGACTTAGGGATAATATTTAATTTAAGATAAAACAAAAATAAATTTTTTAATGTTTAGTCATATCATCATCTATAACGTTAACGCGTTACTTCCGTAGAGTTGCACTCTCAAAAAAGAGTGACGTTGGAAAATATTTTTTAGTCCCTACAAAAGAAAGTCGACATGTTTTTGAAAAAAATATATAACAAAAATATTTATGAGTATGTATTGTGAGTAGGCCTATTCAAAAACGAATTCGAATCGAATAGTGCATTATAACGAATCGAATAATTTACTATTCGTTTAGTACGAATAATAAAATCTACTATTTGAATTCGATTCGAATTATTCAAATTAATTTTTTTAATAAAATATATCTTACTCAAATATATTGACAAATTTGATTTCAAACAGAAAAATTATTATAATAAATAGGGGTGTACCGATACCACTTTGGGGGGCCGATCCGATCCGATATTCAATTGATATTGGCCGATTACCGATCGGATATCATATCTAATTTTTTATTCTGTAAAGATACCACTGGTTTTAATTTTTAATACTTTTTAGTATAACATCTATAATTTAACTATACTATAACAATATATTATTATCATCAGTTATAGTTTATATTTAATTCAATTGCAATTCTAAAAGTATATAAAATATATTGATAAATTATTTATATAATAAGTAAAACAAATATATTATGAAATTTGAAATAAATATTTAAATTAATATATCGAAGATTTCTAATTTACAATTTATCAGAGGTCAGTCTGACGTGATACTATCAATATTACTAGCTTCACTAAAAACAGATTCTGAAGAGATAATTACATATGGATTTCAATTTTATTTATAAAATTAAATGGTTTTTTAGATATAACTTTTTTGTAAATTTTATAATATTTTATTTTTGTTTAAAACGCCATTTTGTATCGGATCGGAAAATTTTATAATATTTACCGATAACCGATATTTTAAATGGGTGAAATATTGGCCAGATCCGATCCGATATAAAATATCGATACATCCCTAATAATAATTAATAAAAAATATGTAATCAATAATCTAATGATAAAAAAATATGTAATCAAGTTATAAACAAAATTAATATGTATATTATTATTTAATTCATAATTCTAAGCCAATTTTTAAGGCAAAGAGTTTTTCTTATATTTTCTTCCTTATATGACATGATTTTTTGACAATAAATTAGTTCCAACTAGAGGTGGGTGCGGACCTAATTTTGATGGCAATAAAAAAAAATTCACACCCATTCACGATTACCACTAAATAATTTTCGACCCGACCCGCCCGCTCACGAAAAACAATATTTTGATTCACGCCCGAAAATTCACGGTGTTTTTAAAATATTCAAAACGATTGCTATAATTTTACACTTTTTTGAATTTATTCTATTTACCTCTCTAATTTCATAATTCATATTAATAACAAAAAAATAAACACAATCTATAAATCGAAATTTATTTAGAAAAAGAAGAATGTCCATTTTTTTATTTCAATTGTGTTAGCCTTTCTTCTAATAAGAGATTGGCTACAGAAAATAACCTTTCACTAGAATCCGAATTTGCAGGAGCTGACAAAGTTTTACTCGCTGATTTTCTCAAAAAAGGAAATGAATATTCCTGCTTCCAAAACTTCAAAATATTGTCTTGTTATTTATCTTATATGAATCTTTTAAGTTCATCCTCACAGCTTTCATCGGTGATGTTGATGCTACATCAGAATAATCTAGAAATTATCTAAATTTTTTATTTAGAACCTTATGTAGTGGCTGTATAATAAATCTTTCTTGTAAAAAGAAATCTTGTTCTGTATTTTAAGGTTTTGATTATTATTGTATCACGTTCAGAAGGTTAACAAATAATTTTTGTTTCCATAAATTAACTTCATTTATTTTGGGACGAGAATCTGCTCTCAGATTATCCAGGTATTCTTTAAATATTGATAAAAATTTATTTAACTTGCGTATGGTGCTGATATCAATTGTGGCTAATCTATTTAATTCTTGCTTGCTAAAAAAGTACACCTATATTTCAGTAAATGATTTTAAGTCTGTATCATGATATATACAGAGTTCCATCTCGTCATTACATCTTGGTGGCTTAGTTTGCTATTAGCTGTAGATTGTTTGAAATATTATACTATTTTTTTTACACCATATATATTTAAGGCTATTTCAGTTAAATAATTGTCAAAAATATAATGCGTAATGTTATTTAGTATATGGTTTATATATGCTAGCGTTTCGTCATCTTTGAATGCACTTATAAGATTTGCCCCGTTATCAGTCACACAACTATACATTTATTTAAATAATTTTCTACTTCTGTGTATTCTTCTAAAATTAAATTGACTACACTTTTAATATTAAGGCCTGGTTTCATTTCCCTTGTGGCCGAAAAAAGAAGATTTTAATATGTCCTATAATTATCAAAAAACTACGATTTGTATAGTCATCCGTCCAAATATCAGTGGTTATGGACAAGCAATTAATATTTATCATGCTTTTAATCTTAAGTTTTATTTCATGGTATATTTTTGGACCTATAGTATTCATGTGAGTTTTCCGGTTCACAACTTTTATATTTTGTTATCCATAGTAACACCAACATTTATCTTTCTAGCTTGTAAAATCCTTTAAAATATAACTGACTTCTCTATAAAAAGTTCAAGCAAAATTTAGCATAAAGTCTCGCGATAAAAAACACCTAAACATAAAAAGAAAATAGAACTAACGAAATGATACCGGGTGTTGTTTATAAAATGCGGAAGATTTTTAGCATGTTCAAGCCTGGGAGAAATTTTTGGAAGGCCCGTCACGCTTAATAATTTAAAATTTATTCACACTCACACCGTGACACGATGAATCACGCGTAATTTCACGAACCACCTCTAGTTCCAACTAAGAAAAGTCGCTCACGCAGTTGATGTTCCTTGTATAGATAGATATTTCCTAGGTGTGAATGAAACCTATTATAATGATTAATAAGAGGGGATGTTGTTTTGCCTTTACATTTTATAATGCTCTTGAAATGATTGAGGCAGCCTTTTACCGTCTTTATTGATTTGATATTTCCATATAATCGTTCTTTTTGTGGGGAAATTTTGTCAACTTCAATATCAAGCATAACTATTTCATCAAGCATTCTCTTCTAACATAATTAGGCTACTAACAATAATTTATTGTAGAAATTTATTATATTTTTATATATCTTTGATTTGTGTAATTCTTCAATATAATTTATTATGAGATTCAAAAAATAAACTTTTCGTGAGATTCGAAAAATACAGCAAATAAAAATTTAAATATTGCTTTAATTTTCACTTCAAAGATTTTAAATTTTTGCTAGACTTTTTATAAACACATTACCAGTCAGATTGGAAGGTGCTCAAATAGAAATGACAAATGTTAGATTATTAAATATTCCGAATAATTCGTTTTATTCGAATCGAATAAATAATTATTCGTATTCGGATAAAACAAATAATTTATTATTCGTATTCGTAATTATTTGATTAGAATTTTTTTTGAATAGACCTAATTGTTAGTGATAGCTTTGATTTTAAGAATTCATTTAAAGAAAAATATAATAATATTGTGTATAATTGTCATAAAAATTAGGTGGAAAATATGACTTATCACATCAATCAGTAAAGATTTATAACAAAAAAAATAATATTTATTTAGCTACATTTAATTGTAGACAGAGAAAATTTAATAAATTTTTTAATTCAGTAAGTTACTCTAGGTAAAGGTAAACAATGACTAACTAACAAAATAAAAAGTTTCATTTTTATCAATAAAATAATTATTATTTTACCACCTATTTATAATTTAAAGGCAGAGAAGCTGCCACTAGATTTAAACTCTTCTCGGTAGGTAGTTACAGTGTCAATTTCTAAATATCAATTTTGAACCATTTGGTAGGCAGTGGTAAAAATATAGCTTGGTGTGAATATTTAAATGGGCCAAACTATTTAAGAAAAATGTTTATTTTAATAGCTAGTGATGCAAAGAAAAGAATAGTGGGAAAGGGTACAAAAAATCCCAAATTTGCCAAAAAATAAAATATTTTTTAGCTCATATTCTGTCCATTCCCAGACTTTTGATGAGGTTAGTCTGAACCCCACTCTCATGAACACAAATTATTTATTTTTATAGTTTTTTTTAAAATATAATTTTCTTAAAAAATATTTACCATCACCAAAAATATTGATTTTATTGTAAAAAATTATATCAATGGCATTGTTGGAAAAGACAAAAGTGTGCTTAGCACATCAACTTTTTCCAAAGTGGCTAAGTATTTAATGCAAGATTTTATATTTGTATCCATTCCTGATTTGATTTCATCAATATAATTTTATATAAAAACATTATTTTGTATTATGAAAATTTAATTCATTGGTTGATCATGATAACTTTAATGATATTGATAATTTTAATAAAGCTGAAAATTTCAGTATATAAATTTTATTAATAAATCCATTAAATCTCTAATAATATATATAATAAAACAATTTATGTCTTTCTTATTAATAGTTAATGTGATTTGTAATCAATTATTATTAACATAAAACTTATTTCTCCTATTATAAGTAATTTTACAGAAACACATATTTTTATAACAATACCTTATTAGACAGAGACTTTTAAAGCTAATGCCTATTAAATATACATTTTAATTGTTTTTTTTAATTAACCTTCAACCATCGTAGACAAAGACAATACGTCACTTGCTAGTGATGTTGAGGAACAGACCTTTGAGTTTTGGACTTGAATTAAGTTGCCCAACTTTAATAGAAATTTGTGAGATCTTGGTAATGAGCTGAGGTCTCCAGTGAACTCATATTGATTGTTAAATGGTAATGTGGCCATTGATTCTGTAAAATAAAAATATTAAGTTATACATATATTTAATTATTACTGTAAGTAAACTAATTTTACGTTGTGTGGAATATATTATATTAATTATTTATTACAAATAGAATTTGATAGTTTCGAAAAATAGCTAAAAAAATAGAATATTTTTATTTTGATTTTTCAAACAAAGATAATAAATAAATTTTAAAATAATAATAAATAAATACAACAAACAAACAAAATATAAAAAATCATTAAAATTATATAATAAACATCTGTTTATTAAATATCTTTGTTTATATGTATTTATGCTTTTCTTATGTTACATTACGAATTCTTGGAAAATGTTTTGAGAAGAAGGTGTGTATGTTTGTTTAATTAAGGAATCATTTTTTTGTTATAAAAATTGTCAAAATAAAATGACCTTGTATTTTTGAAAAAAATAATAAAATTCTAAAAATAGATATTAAATTTTAACTTATTAAAATATTTAATTATTGACTTTTTATCGTTTTATTAAATTTAATGTCAAACCTATCGGAAGGCACGAAGACCTAACTAGGGATATTTTCTTATGCGAGTGTCATCGATTAAAGTTTTTTTTAAGATAGATTTCTAAGCTGGCCCGAAATTTGTATGCCTTTTCAGATCCAGTCGGCCAATTTCAATTTTAGGACCGAGTAAAGAATTAAATGAAATATCTATATATAATCACCGTAATCAAGAAATGAACGTTTTCGTATATCCTTAATGTTCATTTTTATTTCTCATCAACTTTCCTATCTTAATGTTAATTTTTATTTTTCTCATCAATTATCTTCTTAATGTTAATTTTTATTTTTCCTTTCAACTTTCCTATCTTCTAAATGTTAAATAAATCGATGGAGACTATATCTCTCATAATGTTAAATTTTAAGATAATTTTTTGTATATAACGGGATTCAAACAGGGTTGCCATGTCTCCCCCCATCAGTGGGAGTCTCCCACAATTTTTTAGTTTACCCACATACATCTCACTCTCACAAAACTCCCACAATTAGAAATCTCCCACAAAAAGCTCCCACAATTTTTTAATTTCTCCCACATTTTTTTTTTAGCATTTTAATGTTTTTAATATATAAATAATAATTTTGAGAGACAGTATTTGATTATTTTTATATTTTTAAAATAAATTTTAAATATTTATTCGAAAAATATGTCTAGTTCTTTTATTTTATTTTTCCGCTCTAAAATATATTTTTTATTTAATTCTCCAATTCTCCACTTGACATTTTCAAAATTTTTGTGTTAGAAAGAATAGAAGTTAGAACAGTATGTATAATTATTATAAATATATTTTAAATTACTTAATATATTTTATATCGTTATCTAGAATTGCAGTGCTCCACTCGACATTTTCAAACTTTTTGTGTTAGAAGAATAGAACTTTTAGAAGTGGATATCCCATATACCAAACAGATTTAAGTAATAAAATGTTCTATTTTGCTAAAAAAAAATTTCGAGGATGAAATTTCAGAAGCATATTTGGGATTAGTTTCACATGTAGGAAATCTACTTCATGTAGTTAATATTCAGTTGCAATCAGAAGATTCTTTATTGATAAAGATTCACAAAATCATGCTACAGCTCTGTTCCAGTTAAAAATAGATAATAAATTTTATGGCGCTATTGCTAAAAATATCATATTAAAATGTTCAAATATTACTATAATTAACGTATTTTTAAATGAAGCAAATATTTTTATTAAGACAATTTTGGAATATTTACAATCAAGATTTGATTTTAATAACTCTATTTACAAGTGTATAAATATTATAACATTGGAACAGAAACCATCATTTGATGGTTTTTGTAATTTAATAAATATATTAAAATTACCGATAGAAATTGAAGCCTTGTTTGAAGAGATTGTAATTTTTTCCATTTTTTATGATTCGCCAGAATACTTAAAGTTAGATGGTCTAAAAGCAGAGGAGAAATGGGTGGAATTTTTTCGTAATAACGATAAATCCCCATGTTTGGAAAAAATTTGCGAGTATGTTTTCTCCTTACCTCATTCTAATGCCTCATCGGAGCGCATTTTTAGCCTGATGAGGACTGCCTGGAGAAAGGAGAGAAATCGAATTGCTTTAACAACATTAGAGGCCGAGTTAATGGTTAAACAAAATTATAAAATGTCATGCCAGGAATTTTATAAATATCTTAATAACGACGGTAAACGTTTAGTTCCATTATTTAAATCTCAAATAAAATATAATTAACTATAACTATTTGACTTTCTATATTTTATAAAATCTTATTTATACATTTGCATAAAATCAAATAAATTTATTTTTTACATTGTAAAATTAATATTTTGAATATTTTGGCAAATCATAAAAATAAAGAAGCATTACAATCTCCTCAAACATGACATCATATTAAATCTTATTAATAATTATCCGATATAATAGTTATAATATTCTTACTTTGGTATTTCTGCAGCATAATTTAGTGATCCTTTATTAAATTATATTCTTATAATTGCAACTGCATATTAACAGCATATAGTAGATTTCCTATATGTAAAATTCCTAAATATACTTCTGCCATTTATTTTTGAAAATTTTTTTCAAAATATTAGGACAGCTTTTATAATATATATATTTTTTAAAGGTTTGTAAAATTTTAAAATTCTACGATGGCGCATATTAGGAGAAACCTGTCAACCAACATTATGCTGACTCAATTCTGTAAATACACTTTGGTTTTTGCAAATTCACTGAGGAATTATCAGATCAGAAAGCTGCCATGTAATTCATTGGTAATGCCAAATCTGCCATATTTACCATTATATATGGTTAGCTATGTCTTTGGATATTTCATATCTGGAGAAAATTTTTTTAATAGTTTTATTTAAATGACATTAATTTTGTTGAAATAGGAAAGGATCAAGGGAAATGTTTTGATATCTCCTTATTAGATGCATCTGTTAGAATTGCATATGTTTGCACATCTTTCAAATCGTCAGGAATAGACCTTCTGGATTTATATCCTAAAACATTGATGATAGCCTTGCTCATTTGTGTTCTACAAAGTATACTTTTCATTTATATTAGTCGTTAAATATTATGGGGAAAGATTCTACCAACATTGTGATGTTAAGTAGCTCTCTGAATGTTGTACTGCATGATAGGTATTTACCATTTCCGCAACTGTAGTTGCATCTGTATTATTTCTTATTTTTGAAGAATATTTTTGTTTTGCAATAGATGTTGATAGACTGCCCTGTTCTGATTTATGCTTTGAAGATTTTTGATGCCTCAAAATATCATATTCCCTTCCCCCATTGTATTAACTAAATACTGTAGAACAACTTCCCCGCACTGATTATAATTATTTTTTACATTGTAAATTTAAAATTGTTTGTTTTTTTTATAAAATCTTATTTATACATTAGCATAAAATATATTTTTTTACATTGTAAAATTACAATTTTTTTATAAAATTTTATCTTGTTTACATTCTTTTGTATTTAAAAAAAATTGTTGGTTATTATTTTTAAACAAAATTAATATAATAAATCAATATGTTATTTTAATAATAAAGATAGTATTTAAGAAATTTTGTGTCGTACTATAATTACCTATTTTGAAAAATAGTTGCGTATTTTATTTTGGAAAATAGTTACCTATTTTATTTTGAAAAAGAGTTGGATATTTTATTTTGAAAATAGTTGGCTATTTTATTTTGAAAAATAGTTGGCTATTTTATTTTGAAAAATAGTTGGCTATTTTATTTTGAAAAATAGTTGGCTATTTTATTTTGAAAAATAATTACCTATTTTATTTTGGAAAATAGATTCGATTTTATATTTATTAAAAATAATAAAACAATGGGCGGGCGGGTTAAGGAAATTTAAAATTTTCGTTCAAAAACAAACTAAAGAAAATCATAATTAATTATGATGGATAACTAAGTCAATTCTAAATCCCGGCCGCAGGCCGGTCCTTGCGGGCCTTCGGCCCGTAATTTTTTTTAGCAATTTTCATATTTTTCCCACAATTTTTATATTACTCCCACAAAATACCGAATTTCTCCCACAATTTGAAAATGTTGACCTGCCAACCCTGGATTCGAACCCATGACTTATTCTTCCCACTCAGTCACCTTCTATATTAAATTTTGTAATATAATCTTTCTTATATACGTTATTATTTAGCTGTTATTTTTTATTTTTATTGGCTTATTTATCTTTTATTTTATTGGCTTATTTATCTTTTATTTTATTGGCTTAATAAGGTCTTATTTCATTGGTTTAAAATTATTTTCTTTCTATTTCATTGGTTTAAATTTATTTTCTTTGTTTTATTAATTAAGTAATCAACCATTTTTATTAATGATTTTTATAATTTTACTTGATAAAGTAAGAAATAATTTATAATTTTAAATTTAATAATATTCATTCTTACCATATTATTAGATTTTGAATTTGTTCAAATTCTTTAGTACCAAGTGAAATCCAACTACCTTTTATATTAAAACGTCGTCAATTTTCTAATTCAATGTCAACCCTTCGATCATGTAAGTTTATATTACCTGTTTTATACCATGGAAAACTTAATGTCGGGTTAAGCAAATGCACCTCTCAAAAAATACTAAAGTTATGATTGTACCTACAAAATATGCTCAAATAATTAACGTAAGTAATTATTAAAATATCAATTAACCATTTTTAAATTTTTATGAAGATAAAATTATTTCTTACCCTGTCAAGTACAATTATTTTATTTTTTTTAATATTTATTCTCATTTTAAAATGTGTTCTAAATTATCAAATTTTTAAAAATGACAAATTAGTTTTTTAAAAAAAGTTAATATTTACCCCGTTCATATAAAAATATGGACATGAGATATTGTGAGAAGAACATAAATAAATATAAATTATGTTTTAAGTTAAAGTAATAACCTTTTTTAAATTTTTAAGAAGATAAAATTATTTCTTACCCTGTCAAGTATAATTATTTTATTAATAAAATTTAACTTTATTTAGCAATTATCATGGAAACTATGGAAAATCATTTTTAATTAAATTTAGGAAGATCACAACCTTTTTTAAATTTTTATGAAGATAAAATTATTTCTTACCCTGTCAAGTACAATTATTTTATTTTTTTTAATATCTATTAATTCTCATTTTAAAATGTGATCTATAAAATAATCGTTAGG